CCCTCCCTCCACCCCTTATCGACACGTGTCGGCCCCCCTCTTAAAACGCGGCTAGCGGTGGTGTGTTCTGTCTGGTCGTTCTTCGTGTGTGTATGTGTGTGTGTGTGGTGGCTACAGTCGTGGGAATCGGCGGACAGACAGACAGACAGAGGTTGCAGATCAGTCGACGAGACGGCCATCTCATTCCACGGGCAGCCAGGCGGCCAAACAGGCAGACAGCCATTTCGAGCAGCCAGCCACTCGAGTAGTGTTGTGTGTATTCTAAGTGAGGTGCGCTATCATTAAATCTGCCAACCACCAAACAGACAGACAGCAGGCAACACGCAACCAATCAACGTCGTTCAGGGACCACGAGTGCGTTATGAATGCGTACCGGCTTGCACTTGCCGTCCTTACAGATGCAGGAGTCGACCTCCCATGTCATAAATTGCCCGGGCCGCGGGGGCAATTTGTACTTGTATGAGCCGCAGTACGTCAGGCCTTTCACGCCCTCACAGTCGTGGTCAAACTGGCTACAAGGAGAACCTTACCCACAACGAGCACGACAGACAGACACATCTATGCATCTGTATGTGTATTGCCCGCCCCCGCGCAGTGCTTACCCCCATCAGTGTTGCCCCTCTGCTTCTTGGTGATGGCCTTCATCTGCTGCTCGGCGGTGTGGATGGCGTCGAGGGCGCTCGTGGCCATCTCTTTGGCCGCCCGGCTCATCTTGTTGGCCGCCACCATCATGGCCTTGGCCTGCTGCACCTGCCCCTGCACAAACGCCGCCGCCCCAGAGCCCTCCGACAACGCCCCTGCACACACAGCACAGCACCACACACACGCGGGATGCACCCCACCCAGATCCAACCATCCATCGCATCTTCCCATGCATCCCGGCCGCACCTGTGTTGCCCGCAGCCATGCCGGAGATTTCGCCGGTGCGGTCCACAAACGACCCCCCTGCACACAGCAGCAGGTAGGACAGCCACATATGAGCCAGGAGTGATGGGTGTGCCGTAGGTCTGCCTCCCTCTCGGAGCCAACCGTTAGGGACCTACCGTCGGCAGGGCAGTCGTATCCCTCCTCACAGTCGCCGCGCGTGGCCGTCGCCATGGCCACTGCCGATGTGGCCGCCAAAGCGATGAGGAGCAAAAACTTGGTAGCCATGCCCATCATCGCTGCCAACAAGCTCTCGGAGAGAGATCTATGGGGAGACACGCCCCCGCCGCAAATTTCATCTGGAATCTCCCCCCTTCGGCGGCAACGGCCTTGCGAGGATCGGAAGATCACGGGGTCTTCGGCCCCTGCCGTACATATTCATCCCATCACGCTCTGAGACCCTCATCTGCCCTCGAAGCCGCGGCGAAGAAGCGCCGGTTTTTCCACCATCCCATCAGCTTTTCGCGTCAGCTCCCACCTCTTCCACGACTCCCTGCCCCTTCCAGAGGTCTTCAGCGCTTCCCCCGCAGCCTCCCCCTCCTGGATCTATTGCTCCTGACAACGTTTTCCATCAAGCCGCATCACATGAGAGCCCCCTCAGAGCCTTTTGACTCAGCGCGGGGCGGCGGGGCGGCGGGGCGGCAGAGGCGGGCTTTGTTCTTCCTGCGCAATGGCCAGCCGCCACGAGTCTGCCCAGCAGCCGAAGGCCGGTTATTTGGCACCACGCTTCGTTGTCAGCAACTACTGTACCGTCCAAGGCGGGTGCTGGCGATGGCATCGACGGACGGCCACGGGCACCAGACAGCAACGGCCAGCCGCAGAGCGGCTATCAACAGAGCGGCCATGAACAGAGCAGCCGCAAGAACTCCGCTTGTATCGCGATGTGTCTTCCGGCCTGCAGCCGCGTTCGAAGCTACACAAAACGCATCCAAAGACGGAGGGGATGGCTACAAAGTTTTTGCTCCTCATCGCTTTGGCGACCATATCGGCAGTGGCAATGGCGACGGCCACGCGCGGCGACTGTGAGGAGGGATACGACTGCCCTGCCGACGGTAGGTAATGGTTGGCTCTGAGAGGGAGGTAGATCTACGGCACACCCATCACTCCTGGCTCATATGTGGCTGTCCTACCTGCTGCTGTGTGCAGGTGGGTCGTTTGTGGACCGCACAGGCGAGATCTCCGGCATGGCTGCGGGCAACACAGGTGCGGCCGGGATGCAATGGATGGGCGGATGCGATGGATGGGTGGATCTGTGGTGCATACCCGCGTGTGTGTGTGGTGCTGTGCTGTGTGTGCAGGTGCGTTGTCGGAGGCCTCCGGGTGGCATTTGTGCAGCAGCAGGTGCAGCAGGCCAAGACCATGATCGTGGCGGCCAACAAGATGAGCCAGGCGGCCCACAAGATGGCCACGAGCGCCCTCGACGCCATCCATACCGCCGAGCAGCAGATGCAGCCATTCTTGGGTGAAACGATAGGTGAAACACTAGGTGATAAGCAATGCGCGGGGGCGGGCAATACACATACAGATACACACATGTGTCTGTCTGTATGTCTGTCGTGCGCGGTGTGGGTAAGGTGGTCCTTGTAGCCAGTTTAACCACACGTGTGATGTCCTGAAAGACGGAACGAGGTGCGGCTCATACATTCGGCTCGAGCCCCGCGGGCGCAACACTCATGTCAAGTGCTACTGCAAGAACGCGAGTGCCAGGTACGCACGCCACACACTCTAACACACACATTACATTCACAACGCACCCGTCGTCTCTGACTCTCTGCACGACATTGATTGGCTGCGTGTTGCCTGCTGTCTTTTTGTGGTGGTTAGGGATGACCGTTGAGAAACACTTCCAAGCCAGCGGTGGACCGATAGCGCACCCACACCGGCTGTAACTGGCTGGCTGGCATGGATATGGACGATTGATATGTCGGGCCGTCACATAGCCATGCAGTGTGTGGGTGGTGTGTGTGGAATGTGTGCTGCTGCTGCTGCTGTGGTGTGTGGTTTGTGTGGCTCCATGGCCATGGTTGATGCAATGGACCCATTGCATCCAACCACGCAACGTGATTGCGGACGTGGCGTATGTGCTCTGGTGCAGTACGTACCATGGACGACGGACATGGATAGACACACACAGACCATAAATACCGCACACGCCAGGTGTTTCAGTCAGCAGGCCGTCACTGTTACACTCATCTGCAACAAAAGGAAGCCCTCTCGTGTGTGTGCGTGTCCATCTCACTCACCGACACACACGGGGGCTGCTCGTGTTCTATCGTTTTCCGTGAACCGACACCTCTCTCTCTCTCTCTCTGTCTCTGCAAAGGAAAACAGCAGAGAGACACCCAAGCGTCCACTCATCCACCGATTCCAACGAACTTGCAGATCTAGAGACGTGTGGGTGTCTGTCTGTCTGTCTATGTGCTTGTCATCGGCATCGCCACGCCGCCACCGCCATCTGACACACACAATTGTTGCATTTATTCGTCCATCAACGAATTCACACGGATGCGCCGGCCGATGACATAGATGGCTCAGCCAGTCGATTGGTGCATGGAGGTTGCTGCTAGCTATCCATTTTGCGAGCCTCCATTCTTCCCATCCGGGTCGGAAATTGCCGACGAATACCTCCGGCTTCACCGACGGCACGCAGCATAAAGGCACAACAGATTGTCCCTCTGTCTGTCTGTCTGTCTGTCTGTCCATTCGAATTCTGCTATCCGCGTCTCTCATTCAGTCACGCATACGCCACCTGTCACCATCGCTTCCCCCACTCGCGTCTCTCACTCAGTCATCCCCCACTGCCCGTCAGTCGCCGTCACTCCTTTCGCACTTTCTTCCTTTGCCCGTCGCTACGATCGTCCCTCTTCCTCTTCATAGCCGTCGGACGGTCCCGGCCACCACCACCACCAGCACGGCCCGTGTCCTCGAAGGGCGGCGACGCGCTGTGGGCCGGAATGAGCGGTGGCGGCATGAGCGGTGGGAAGTTGACTGGCGAAGGCATCTCGAGAGGCAGGAATGGCGCAGGGGGCACATATGGCTCAGCAACAGCAGCAGCTGCTGCGGCCGCTGCCGCTGCGGGGGGCGAAGGCTTCTTCTGGCTGCACAGCACAAGACAGAATGAGACGAGAATCGACCAGTAGGCACTCGTCCATGAGTCGATGTGTCTCCTCTACCTGCCGTACTTCGGTGGCTCCTCGTACTCGTTCTTGTCCTCCTGTTTGGCAAAATACATCGACTCGCCGTCGAATACCCACTTGCGCGGGGGGCTGTCCGCCGGCTGGGCCACCGCAGCGGCCGCACAGGGAAAAGGTGAGCTCTTCTCCCCCCTAGATACACACAAATGGAGACAAGAGAAAAAATGGGAATACTTGCATTAAGTGATGTCTGTCTGCTGTGGGTGGGTCTCACCTTTTGCCGCACATGTCTTCGTCTCCCACTGAATACTCCTCTGGACATCCCTTCCCCTTCAGCGCCGTCGGACGAGGCGGCGACACGGATCGCTCTCGGCCGCCAGCAGCACGGCCCCTGTCCCCGAATAGCGGCGACGCGCGCTGGGCCTGGGCGGGAATGAGTGGCGGGGGCATGGGGGGTGGGAACATGAACGGCGGGGGGATCTCGGGAGGCAGGAATGGCGCAGGGGGCACATATGGCGCAGCAGCTGCTGCTGCGGCCGCGGCAGGGCCACCACCGTTGGTCTCCTCGGCCTCAGACTCATTGCCCAGTGCCACGGCCATCTCATGGTCCTCCTCGAGCTGATCCTGTCGTCGGACTTCCATGATAGCGTCAAGGAGCTGCCTGCCGTCCTCCCGTCGCTGGCTGCACGCAGGTCCGCGGGGAGCGGGGGCGAACAATCCAGGCGATGGCGGCGGCCGCAGATCGATCATCGGCGACAGACCTGATGAACAGAGCAAGGGAGGGACACACACATGCAATAGATACCACGAGTCAGACAGACAGACAGATGGCATGAATTTGTCTATCTATCTCTTTGCGCCTTTCGTCTGATCTGTCGGGGCGTGCTGACCTTCCTTGTTGCGATTGGGTGTGTGTATGTCGGGGACGGCAGCGGCAGCGGCAGCACACGGGGAATGCCTGCATGAGCCATGAGGGGGAGAGACAATTTATCCAAAATACACGTGTGTCTCACGCCTCAAAAAGTCCCTTTGCATACTTTGGGCGCTTGATCGACTCCATACGGTCGTCCATCTTCTGCTCCTTGGCCAGGCATACCGCCTCACGATACCCTCCCACCAACCCCCCCAGCATGACGTATCCACTCCCCCCATTCGACTCATCTCCCCGAGACCCACTCACACCGTCGGCGCACTTCGTGCCTTGGCCGAGGTGTGGGGGCTGGATGCAGCCCGCTGCTGCCGCTGCGGCCGGCTGCCTCTGTCGGCGGGCAGTGACCAGCCGATTCATCTTCTTCTGCAACGGCTCTTCGTCCCCCTTGTCCCCCACCTCGCCCTTGGATCCCTTCCCACCCACGGCACGCCGGCTGTCCGGTTTCTGTCTTTGAGCAGCAGCGGCGGCGGCTGATGTTGCGCGAGAGGTCTTCTTGTGCGCCTTGGCGGCCGTGCCATGTCTTTGCTGTGGCCTGGGGTCTTCAGGCCCAGCTGGATGGGCAGAGGTCAAGTCAGCCCCGTTCTGGGACTGTTTGGCAGCAGCAGCAGCCTGATTGATTCGAATCACAGGCAGGGAGCAAGGACACACATCCCATGAGGGGGCCATGCAGCTTTCATGCATCGGCGTCTCGGCGAGGCCGAAACGCCCATATTTGCCCGAATGTAGTGGTCATTCCCTCTCCTTACCTGTGAGCGTGTCACCATCGGGTGCACCATCCCGGCAGACGACTGGCGATATGACTTCAAAGACTCCTGCCGTGAGCAACAGCAACAACACAACTCGAAAGGCAGTTGTACAACTGAGCAGACTCCGAGACGCCTCGGAACAGACGGGCCAGCTCCACTGGCAAGCGGACGACAAGAAGGCAAGAAAATGACGGAAGACAAACGTGAGACGCCCCAGACGCCCAAAACCACTAGCCCCCAATGCGAGCTTGAAAAGGGGGCTGTTTTGGCCAAGTTGGTTTCGGCTCTGGAGAGCATTTTTGAGTCCATTTGCCGCCGTGTACGCGTTGAGCCGTCCAACACTGGAGGCTTCGGTGTCGACCATTTGCCATGCACATGCCCCTCCCCCTCCCACTTCCCCTATGTCGCCCCTTTGCGGCAGAAGCGCCGCAAACAACATCCATACCGTGCAATGCAAGCAGCTGCCCGAAACGGACTATGCTATCCACAGGTCGTGCTGTTCCTTCAAGCTACACATCCCCCTCTTACCTGCCAGCCTCTAGCTCTTCATGCGACGAAACGCAATTGGTGCTTGTCGTGTCTCATGTGCGTTGGTTGACTTGTTACTTGTTGCACACACACATCACCTCCATCCATGGGTTGTATGTACGGCTTATATGCGCACATGGCAGAGCTGAGTCTAGCACACATAGACACTCATGCATGAAGCCGCCGTGTCTCCTTCTGTGTGCGTGTACGTTCCACCCTCTCTTAACCCGTGAACATCATTTCGGTGGCGCGAGAGACGACACACACGATGCATGCCTCAGCTTTTGCAGCAAGACGTCAATGTCCTCCAGGGACATCTTCTTGGACTCAATCTCTGCACGACTCGACCCACACACACAGCACACAGAGAGACACATACACGCACACGAAATCCGCCTGCGGTCGTGTCTCGTTGTCACACCTCTTATCGCTTCGTCGACGGCTGCTCGATCCCCCACTGTGTCAGCAGGGAGAGAGCAACACAGCGGAATGGGCACCGCAAAAGATGCCGTACTCCCGTCTTCGTCCCCCCGGCCAGCCCGACCATGATATGCAAGTATCAGCTCCATCAAGCATCCCTCAGGGATCATGCCTTCCTCCTCGTCCTCCCCCCCTGCATGGTGCAGCAGAAAGAGGCCTGGGTCATTGACGGTCTGCTGGCGCCATTCGGGCAGGGCCGCCAAGACCATCCAGCTCGTGCAATCGCCGATCTCGCGCAACTGCATACGAAAGGAGGAGGAGACACATGGATGTACGCAGCAGCTCGTCCGCTTCTGGTGCTGACTTTCCCACCTGCTGCTTGACGTCATCCAGCCTTTGGAGCCTGAAAGGGTTGTCAGTGAGGACCGTGGCAAAGAACCTCCCCCACCCGCCTTCATCCGCCTCCTGCGACAGCCCCTCAGCCCTCTCAGTGACACCAAATTCTCCCTTGCAATGGCGAGACCCCGCCGCAGGCACATCACTCGGCCTCAGGAGCGAGGCCCCAGTGAAATTTGGAGGCTCCTCAGCTGCTGCTGCCGTGTGGTTGTCGTGACTGCCACTAGAGTCAGAGCGACTTATCGAGCGACTGACAGCCTGAGGGAAGGGCGAATTGGGAGGTGGCGGCAGCAGTGGGGGGCGCCTCAGCGAAGCTCGGTGGGTCTTCAGCCTGCATACACAGCCACGACACATGCCCAAAGATTGGCTCGCTTTGATCATCACAGCATACCAGATGAGGCAGAGGGGCCACCAGTCCAGAACCGACAGGTAGGGCGCTGGAGGGGGGGGCGGCCGACGTCTTCGCTTGTCGCGCGGAGCTGGGCCAGCTGCCGAGACCGCAACGGAATTCATCGCCACTCGGGGAATGTGGGAATCGGGAGGGCGAAGACGGCGAGCTTGGTTGGGGGCCCCCAAGCGATCCTCCGATCTTCTTCGAGCACGTTCGAAGTTCATAGCGAAGGAGAATGTCAGCCGCCGACATAGAAAAAAGCACACGTGCAGCCACACAGGAACATCCCGCAAAAGTGCAATGCGCAAGCCCCACAATCATGGGGGGGAAACTGTCATTAACCGTAACACTCGTCTGTGTGTCCGTGATACTCATACAAATACAGTCCCATCAGCACGCAGACTCAAACAGGCTCAAGGGGAGGAGGGATCAATCCCCGCCCCATCAGCACACCCCAGTCCCGCAAACCCTCCCCTCCCTCCCCCACGCAGACAGAAGCTAGTCGCACGCGCGAGGGCGATAGACAAGCGAGAGCGAATCCATCCAGACACATGACTGAACCCCCGACCCTTCCACCCCTCCTTCTCCAACAGCGCATGAGCCATGTGGGCGATGAACACGTTGGCATCGTGTCCCCACACACCGTCACACGTCACCACCAGAGGGCAGAAGGTCACGCGGGAGTCGCAGACGGCCGAGCGGTATTTCTTCTTCTTGGCGGTCTCGTGCTGCT